TAGACTAACCAGCTGAACGCTTGTCCATAACTAGCCGCTCGTAACAAGGCTCTCTGACGAGTTACATCAAATTCATGGCCAGCAGCATCAATACAGGATTCAACAGCCTCAGACAGCGATGAACGAATTAGTCTCAAATTTTCATCTGCCTGAAAGAAGAAGAGCAAATCAGTTTCATCACTCATTACAAACTATTCTTCTCAAGTCAGTCCACTTTTTCTGTCAGAACACCATACTCATTCTAGAACGTGATAATACAATATCAGCAACAGCAGGAAGCACTGAGACACGAAAGCCTGACTAATAAGAAAAATCACATCATAATGCACAACATCTGCTACAGAGCACCATAAAGATACATATGCTTTTTTTTGTTGTCTATAGTAATAAACCTACCTTAGCACTTCGCCTGTCAAAATGATCCAAAGCATCATACAGCAAAGCTGCAGGTGATGTGCTTCCAATCTTAAAGATTGACTCGGTAGAATCAGGTACTCTTTGCAGAAATTCAAGGCTCGTGTTAGATAATATCCTCACTCCGTCGCATTCTGGGATGAGAATTACAGGTTCATCATAGAAATAGTGAACTGGTTCTCCTAAAGGACCCACCATCATCAAATCCTCATCCCAATAGAGCAGCACACTATCCATTCCACACCAAGCCATTTGCTGCGGAGGAAGGGCTGACTAGAAAAGTATGTGATTAGAGACACAATTAAGGCACCATATTTACACCAATTATATTCAGCGTATGAGAAAGAACCAAGCATCTCAAGAGGCAATGATGCATACCTCGCAACTGTAGTCAATAGCAATATGTTTTGTTTCCATGCCAACAACAACAATCCGGCCATCATGAGTGAAGAGTGTCAGAAATTTCCCGTTAGGTGATACAATCATCTTCTGCACAGGTCCAATCAAATTCCCATAATCATCATTCTGCATCTCAGAGTCTTCAACACTAGGCTCATCAAACCTAATAGTTTGTGCCTCGTCCTCATCCACAACAAAAATGTCATCGCCAACTGCTACCAACACCTCAACATTCCCAGACATTGTGTACTGAGGTTCCCTCACAGCCAAGCAAGTTGGCTGAAGCAGATCGTCTTCTGTTAACCCCGGCACATCAGCCAACTTATAAGGCTTCATTGTCTTGAAATCGGAAATGCAGAATAACTGCCCTCCTTCTGTCAAGCAGACAACACCATTTCCCCAGAAGACACACTCCACCACATTCTGCTCAAAGCACTCCTTTCCCATTGTCATATTGGGCTCGATGAGCTCAGCGTGGATGTTGTAACGATAAATAGTGCCGTCTTGGACGATGCAGATTAGTGTCTGATCATCAGACCAGGACATTCCAATGAGGCGTCCTCCAGGGTGTTTCCAGACCGTCTCAGAGAGAAGTATACCTGCTGAGTTGAAAATGCGGAGCTTTCTTAGAGCAGATTCAGCATAGAGTTGGACAATCTTCGAGTCATCTCGAATGACTGCAATTGGCCCACCAAATGAGGCACAAGCCACCTTGTTGCGACTCAAATCTACATGTTTCCATCTCATTTGGTATATCTCAGGCTTCCTGTAATATCGATTATAGAGAAGTTGCCATTCCGCAGCAACAGACACGTTCGCCATCTTATTTCAAACTGGAAGTTGCAAGAGGAACAAAAAGAAAAACTGGGATTAAAGATCAAATACAAAACGACGATTCATACACACTAATACTGTTTTTAAGAAAAGCGAACAAGAACTATAATTTCACATCATCGAATTGCTAAAAGAGAAGTCTTTGAAGAGCTTAATCATGTAAAAATCGCAATTTTGACCATACAGGAACGGGTTCTAAAAATTTACAATTATATTGACGATTGTGATCTCGATAAAGGGTTTAAGCAATCAAGTTCAACAATCTCTTTAGTTAATCTACTCTGAGGAGATTCGACACAAACATTCGTACAGGAATCTCCACTGGAAAGGGAAAACATTACATCATCAATAAGAAAAAAGGACTTACTTTTAGAAACGAAATCGACGATTGTTCTTAGAGGAAAATCGAAGAGGAGAGGAGCTCATCGATGGAGACGACGGAGCTTTGAGAGAAAGAGATCGGAAAGCAGAGCCAGGACGAACATCAAATATGCCACGATTTTATTTTCTTCCTATAATTATCATTTATATAACTAAAGTTTTCCAAATAAGCATAATTCCGTTGTAGTCTAGCTGGTTAGGATACTCGGCTCTCACCCGAGAGACCCGGGTTCGAGTCCCGGCAACGGAGTTCCTTTTTTACATTCTTTTATTTAAAAATTTACGTAATTTTTTCTTAGTAATCAAATTTCCATAAAAAAAGGGGTACGGCAACTAACGCGCGTGTCAACAACGGAAACTGATTGTACCTCAAAAGCCAAAACTATTTGACTCATGAGAAAGTGCATATTAGTGGAATTACGAAATCCAAGGAAAAACTCCTCTGACAGGAAGGTGCAAGAAGGATAAGGAACCGAAAAAAAAAATGGAAAATCGAGATCAAGATTAATACAAACAGTGATAGACATTACTACTGCTTCAATAAAAAAAAGCAAATTATAATATTGGTTAAGACCTAAAAAGTTCAACTATCATATAACAATCTTAACAAATATCCATCAATCAGGTCATGGATTTACGTGAGAGGGATCCATGCACCATTACAAGATCTTCGTTTGTTTGATTTTGCAACTAGTAAAACATAATAAAATCTACATAAATGTAACTTTAAACAGCTAACAGGTTATTACAATTTACATACAATGTGGCAGTGGCACACTGTTAGATTGTTAGAATAAATATGAGGTGGACATAATCAGAGGCTCAAACGTTTACTTAATTACTTTAATTCATAAATATTAAAAATTACATTATCTTATTTACCCGTACTTCATTGATACTAATCTAAAGTGTTTTTACACGTGGGAGAAGTATTTACATTCCACTCACAAATACAATGTATGTGGAACAGATTTTTACATGGCTTATTCCAATGGAATGTTGCACTCAAACTCTCTTAAGCATATTGCACACTCATCTTCCCTATACCAGAAGTGCAACATCTCTAGTCAGATGTTAAACCTAAACCTACACTAATTAGTGTTGCATAACCTAGAAGGATCTGGTTTGCATGTGTAGACATGATGACAGAAGACTAAGAGTGTGGAAAGTGTTGAGGGAGAGAGAAGAAGAAACAGAAGAACAGAATCCAACTGATTTTCCTTTTTCCGTTACAGAAGAGTTGTAGAAGTTTATAACTAAGTCTTAACTTTGATAAAGAATACTTCAGTTTTATATAATAAAAATAAATTTATATATTAAATATTTTATAGACATCATATTGGACTACTGGGTTTAATTATTATTAGTGAATTTAATGATAGTTTTAATTAAATTTATGTCAATACATTTGTTACAGTTGAATAAAATTTGGAAAAAGGAAAAAAAAATAAGCATAATATATGAAAAATATGAGCAAAAATATAATAAAATTATTATGTTTTTTTTTAAATTAGTTTTGCTAAATGGCCCCCTTAAAGATTAAATATCCTATACTATTGCCTCGTCAAAATGTTTCTAGGACCGGCACTGCTTAGCTTTGTACATATCCTAGACACAAAATCTCTCTTTAATTTAAATAATCTGCATAATTATCACAACTTTACATTTAGGTTTGCAGGTTGTGAGTTCCCTTGCGTTTAGGGATTCTCAATCTATTACCTGAAAGCAAAACACATCATACATTCAAATCTAACGTGTTTTTAACTACTTTAGGGATTCTCATTCTCATTCTATTAAACTAGTTTTGTAAAAATTACATTTTTGTAACTTTTGTGTACTTTAATGAGTAAATAAGCTTTGTCGAGTGTGAAATTGACTAATTTATCAAATAATCACAAGTGACTTAATTGCACATCTCCACCAGCATATAATCTTGAATTCAAAAATTCGCATGCATCCTATTTTTTTAGATTGTAAAATCGCAGGCTTTAATCTCAATACCCGTTTGTATATACGACCTGTGACACAATAGTTGATAGTTGGAGGCGGATAAGTAATTAGTATAATGCCTACCACTAGGAGACGTGAGCTACAATTGATATGATGCAAAGTGTATAAAAAATTTTACTCTTAGACATCTAAATGGTACACGAGGTCAGAATCACCAGTGTAAATCGCGTAAACTCTTCCTTTAACAGCCAAGAATGCAAGTTGTGCATCGGCCTCATAAAGAGCAACATTGAATTTAACATTCTTATGCTTCTTCTTCATAGCCGTCAATGGTACAAAAATAATACAAAGAGATGGACAACAAACGCAACTAAAAACAAATAAATATTGGACATAACGTAACTATTACTTACCGCTATACACAAATGTGCAAGGTGTAATGTGTGCAGCATTCTTTGTTCCATTTGCAGTATCATATTCTATTGCTTACTTGAGACTCTTACCTTTATCATCAACCTTTTTTTATAAAAATATTTTTCTTGTTTTTAGATCACTTCCGTCAAAAACTATATCATATCCTTTGACTAGAGTGATGATGTGTTTAATATGTTCTGATTCTGATGTAGTGGTTTGCTGGTAGAAAGTTCAGCTATGTCCACGAGCTTCTTTATATAACTCTCATGATTTGGACTACTAAATTGTTGTTTTTTTTTTTTTTTTTTTGAAAACACTCATCTTCTATCACCTATTATTCACTTCCATATCTTGATCAGAACCACAAGTGCTGCAGACAACTTGATAACATGGACAACAAAGGGATGAGCTATGAAGTAGCTACTTATGGGTTGATTATTTACGTAAGGAAGATTTGTGACTTGTGAGACAAAGTTGATGAAGTTCTTCTCAAATTCAAAAAAAAAAAACAATTTATGCAGACAAACTCTCAGTTCATTACATGTTGTAACCAAACTTGGAATCATGGATTCCCATAAGAGATGAGCAAGTTTGTTCCTAAAGGAAGATTTGTTTTACCTTAATTAACAATTTGACAAAGAGTACAAAACTCCAATCTCTTATAATGTTTAAAGTCACTCAATAATAATATCAATAAAGTCAACGGCGGGTAATTCAAGCAAGAAACGAGGCAAAAATGGTTGGTCTAGCGAAGCAAATCATAATGGTTTCTACCACTGTAAAGAAGCCTAACAACATTCTTGTTCGTCTTCCCTTTTCCCCAACCTCCTCGAAACTCAGATCCATACTCTGCAATCGGTATAAAACCCGACCCATACCCTCCTCCTTTCCCATGCTGCAAAAAACAAACCAATACCGAATGAGTCAAGACCCGGATTTGCTAGAAGTAAAGAAACACCGATTCTTGTCTATTCAAGACTCAAGATCAAAAAAAGGAATTTTACCTCGTGCTCTGGTATGTAGACGATGATTGGCTGTTTACATAGCTTGGAAAGAACCTGTTGAAAGCAAAACACCCTGACTTTTATAGAAATGTGATGTGATGTGAAGTAAACATTTTGAGAGTTAAGAAATGCAGAGGAACTACTCACAAGTAGCTCGGACTCTCCTCCCCAGAAATCGTGTCTTCCTATCCGCTGGCAATAGCTGAAGAATAAAAAATGATAAGAGAAACATAATACCATCATCGAGCTGCAACAAAACATAATACTTATATATGACTCACCGTTTCAGAGGCTCATCTACTGTGATAGCCACTAGAGCTTCTTTGTACTTGTCCCTTTCCTTGGGGTCATTGCATATAACCTCTTTCACAGCCATTCGTAACTCATCTGTCGAAAAAAATGCATCTTTTTTCTTCATTCATACAAATGAGGTTTCTCAACTCCTCATCAATCAATAGACCAAAGAAGGAGAAGGAGAACCCACAACACATTTCCGCAGATAACGATGTTCCAACAACACTCAAAGGTTAACAGACTGAAAAGACTCCATTTTTAAATCCTCAAACTCGGAAAACTTCAATCTTCTAATTTTCAAAAACATTCAATAAACATGAAAGATTCAAAACAAGGGCTATGAATTGATAGAATATATATAGTCACCTCACCTGCATCATCTCTCTCTCTCCGGGGGTTGAGAGTAAGACCCTTGTTAAAGGCCATTCCTTTCACCTAAACATTGAACCAATTACATCACTTTCTTCAGGAACCCAACAAGAAAACAATCAAATATCTAAATAGAACAGAGAGAGTGCGAATTACCAATGCTCTAAATAGACACCGACCATCCCCAGTAACTCTATCCACAGCGTACTGCTCAACCTTTTTCGCTGCCGGAGACCGATTCCTGAAGATTTAATACAGAAACAGTACGGTTCAAAGGTAAAATCTTCAGCTTAGGATTTTAACCAAATACTCAGATAATTGGATTAAGAGCTGAAAACGGGAAACCTACATTGAAGAACCGATTCTTGCGAAGAATGCATAGCTATTGCCCTGCGTGGCGCCTACAAAAGACGCGGAGGAGACTGAATCTGCAACAGAAGGAGTAGGGGAGGAAACAAGCTCGAACCGAGCGAGCCCATGTCTCAGCTGCTCAAGAATGTTATCTGCACCAGAGAAAACATTCAATGTTTGTTGTTGTTCGGATTAAACGAGAGCAAAAGATAAAAAGGGTGCAGAGAAATGAAGTAATTACTGTTGGAAGGTTTGAGCTCCATGGAACTCTCTACGCACGGGATAAGTGAACTTCGTAATTTTGACTCGAGGAGAAGAAGAAATGTAGCCATCCATTGAGATTTAGATTTAAATAATAAAATGTTTCAGATTGTTCACAATTCCGTTGTAGTCTAGCTGGTCAGGATACTCGGCTCTCACCCGAGAGACCCGGGTTCGAGTCCCGGCAACGGAGTTCCTTTTTCACATTTGTTTTCTAAATTTATAAGGATTTTTTTTTCCTTATTTGTTTGACAGAAGAATAGTCCACCACCGGCTCATAACCTAACCCCAACAAATCCACCGGAACATATCCAAAACGAAGAAAGTGATAAAATATTATTATCTGACACGGGCGAGGCATCACGTGCACACGTGCGAAAGGGCAAGGTCTAAACTTCTTAATGGTTTAACGACCAACCGGAAAATTCTGGCAAATTGGCAATAATCAAGTTCTGTTTCTTTTCTTTTTGTTCTCTCCAATCTGCATAAGAAACATCGAAACACTTCCACACAAACAAATCCACGCGCTCTCTCACGCTCACACACTCGCATACACTTGTTTTCTCATTTCAAAAAACCAATTAACCAACCCCTCTAATCGTATCGAATCGACGACGATCTCTTCGATGCTCTCTCTGCCTTCCTCCTTCATTCCCTTGTGAAACTACACCGTCTTCGTCTTTGGATCTCTGGCTTTTTTCTTTCTGTTTTGTGGTGAGTTTTCTTGGGATTTTCATTACTTGAGCTGGGTTTTTGTTCCTTTGTTGATAAAGTTTAGACATTTGGTATTTGAGATTTGGTTGTTTGTTGACAAGAGAGAAAATGGGCACTGGATTGAATCTGCTCCAATCTGATCTCGAGTGAATTCAATTTGATCGGTTTTATTGCACTACGAATAGAAATCTGACTGATTTTTTATTTGTCTTTTGCAATTTACTCTTTTATTGCTGGGACTTGATATGTCTTTGGTTTTGGTTTCTGTCCATGTCGGATTTTGTTCAGTTAGAGGATTGAGATCTGTTTTGGAGTGGATCCATTCAAGTAATTGAAGAAATCATCAACCTTCAGCTATTTGAGCAAAACAAAAATGGCTTTATTGTCTCATTCATCCATAGCATTGGGTGGAGCCTCTGCTTCTGCTTCGGATTACTTGCGTAGTTCGAGCAATGGTGTTAGTGGGGTTTCATTGAAAACCTTAGGAAGAGCAATGGTTACAACCACAAGAAGGAAGGACCTGTATGTGACTTCTCGGCTCAAGAAAGGTAAGAAGTTTGATCATCCATGGCCTGCGAATCCTGACCCGAACGTGAAAGGCGGAGTCTTGTCTTACCTCTCGACTTTCAAACCTTTGGGGGATACACAAAAGCCTGTCACTTTGGATTTCGAGAAGCCTCTTGTTGAATTGGAGAAGAAGATTGTTGATGTAAGAATGAATACTAATCATCGTGCTTGCATCTTCGTTTGATTTCCCTGTGGTGTCTAGTTTCTTAATTCTTGGTCCTTGTGATGCAGGTGAGGAAGATGGCCAATGAAACCGGGTTGGACTTCACTGAGCAGATTATCACTCTCGAAACCAAGTATAGACAGGTAAAAATTCAAGCATAGGTTGGTTCTCAATTTTATATGATTAAAGAAGACCCACCATTCAAATTTGATGTTAATATAACTACTGACCCTTCATTTTTTTATCTAAGGCACTTAAAGATCTTTACACGCATCTCACTCCGATTCAACGTGTGAACATTGCACGTCATCCCAACCGACCTACATTCCTTGATCATATACATAACATCACTGACAAGGTCTGGTCTCTCATTACTATGGCCTTTTTGTCATACATTGGGAATAAAACTTTTGTTTTTTTTCTTCAATTTGGGGACTCACTGCTCTTGTTTCAGTTTATGGAGCTTCATGGAGATCGGGCAGGGTATGATGACCCTGCAATTGTGACGGGTATTGGAACCATAGATGGCAAACGATATATGTTCATCGGTCACCAGAAAGGTAGAAACACCAAGGAAAATATAATGCGTAACTTTGGGATGCCTACTCCGCATGGGTATGTTTTCTTTGCTAGAAATGTTCTTGTTTTGTAGTTAAATAGAATTATTCAGAGTCAACAACACTCTCATCAAATTTCTGTAATGCCAACAACAGTTACAGGAAGGCACTACGGATGATGTATTACGCAGACCATCATGGTTTTCCCATCGTGACATTCATCGACACTCCTGGAGCCTATGCAGACCTTAAATCCGAGGAACTCGGACAGGTACAGGAACTTGTCTTTTTTATGTTTGACGTGTACTGGTGTGTCTGCAGGATAACATTTTTTGCTTATCTGTATAATAGGGTGAAGCGATTGCCAACAATCTGAGGACAATGTTCGGCCTGAAAGTGCCGATTCTTTCTATTGTCATTGGAGAAGGTGGTTCTGGTGGTGCCTTAGCCATTGGCTGCGCTAATAAAATGTTGATGCTTGAAAACGCAGTTTTCTATGTTGCCAGGTAAAAATTTTCCTCCTATGTAGAAACGATAATTTGATATTTTTTTTTACAGGTTGATTTATTCCTGTTTGTTATTCTGCTTTCACAGTCCAGAAGCCTGTGCAGCGATCTTGTGGAAGACTTCCAAGGCTGCTCCTGAGGTCTGTACTCTGTTCTATCTGCTCGTTTAAGTGATCGTGTAAATTCTGAATGAAACTCTTGTACGCAGGCTGCTGAAAAGCTTCGAATTACCTCCAAGGAGCTGGTCAAGCTTAATGTAGCCGATGGAATCATACCTGTAACTGATCCTACCTTTAATCTATTTGTTTTAGCCTTCTTGCAACTCTTTTGTTTGTTTTGGATCAGTGAGTTACTCTCTTACATGTTATACAGGAACCGCTTGGTGGCGCCCATGCTGATCCTTCATGGACGTCGCAGCAGATAAAGATTGCTATCAACGAAAACATGAATGTACGCATAGTTATTTGCCTCAAAACACTGAATGTGGATCAGACAATTTTCTGACTTTTGTTTTTGGTTTTTTTTCAGGAATTCGGAAAAATGAGTGGGGAGGAGCTGCTGAAGCACAGGATGGCTAAGTACAGAAAGATTGGAGTGTTCATTGAAGATCTTCCAATAGAGCCGGAGAGGAAAGTCAACATGAAGAGGAGGGACGCTGTGGTCTCCACTAGCCAGAATCTGGATGGCGAGGTTGAGAAGCTCAAGGAGCAGATTCTGAAAGCCAAGGAGACGTCTTCAGAGGATGAGCCTTCGAGTGAAGTTCTTAATGAGATGATTGAGAAACTTAAATCCGAGATCGATGATGAGTACACTGAAGCTGCAAAAGCAATGGGTTTGGAGGAGAGACTAACGGCAATGCGTGAAGAGTTCTCTAAAGCGAGTTCAGAGGAGCATCTTATGCACCCGGTTCTGATCGAGAAAATTGAGAAGCTCAAGGAAGAGTTCAATACCCGTTTGAGTGAGGCGCCAAATTACGAGAGCCTAAAATCTAAGCTGAACATGCTGAGAGACTTTTCCAAAGCCAAGGCAGCATCAGAAGCTGCTTCAGTGAAACAGGAGATCAATAAGCGGTTTGAGGAAGCCGTGGACCGCCCTGAAATCAGAGAAAAAGTTGAGGCAATCAAAGCCGAGGTTGCAAGCTCAGGGGCATCGTCTTTTGAAGAGTTAAGTGATGAACTCAAAGAAAAAGTTTTGAAGACGAAGAGCGAGGTTGAAGCAGAGATGGCGGGTGTGTTGAAGTCAATGGGTCTGGAGCTTGAGGCTGTGACACCGAATCTGAAGGATGTGGTTGAGCAGACCTTTGTTCCGGACGAAAACCTTCAAGAAAAACTTGAAAAGCTGAACCAAGAAATCACAGAGAAGATTGAGGAGGTGGTGAGGACACCAGAGATCAAGAGCATGGTCGAGTTACTGAAAGTGGAGACCGCAAAGGCGAGCCAGACGCCAGGTGACACTGAAGCGAGTCAGAAGATTGAGACGCTTGAGCAGCAGATCAAGCAGAAGATCGCAGAGTCTCTGAGCATGTCAGGGCTGCAGGAAAAGCAAGAGGAGCTCGAGAAGGAGCTCGCAGCTGCTCGTGAAGTAGCTGCAGAGGAAACTGAGGAAAGTCTGAAAGAAGATGAAGATGACGATGACGAAGATGGTTCAGAATCCGGGAAACCAGAGATAATTAACCCCAGCTTCGCCTAAAGCACAAAACAAGAGCTTGTTTGTAAGTCTATAATCTGATCAAAACACTTTCTTTGATATCATTCACAGACCAATCCAAAATGATAACTAACACAAAGACAAAACTTGCAGGATCTTGAAGCTCTTTCAGAATATCCCTAAGAGGCTTTTCTTAGAACCAGTGGCGGACCTGCGTGAATGGGATTCAATGGTTATATTTAGAAAATTAAACTGTTTTGCTAGTATCAAATTGTCGCTCTTTTTGTTAAAAGTATTGCTTTTTTAAAAAAACATTTAGTGCTTATCATTGACTTTTTTTTTTAATTTTATTTTCTACACCTATGTGAGATAAAATGACATCAGATATATGTGGAAACCTGATTGTTTCACTAGTATCAAAGTGTTTGTGGCTATATTGGTTAAAAATATTTTCTATTGATCGACCTCTCTAAAAGCGTTTAGGGTTTATCATTCATTTCTTTTATAGATTCAAGTGACACCAGTTAAATTTGAAAATTTAAAATTGGTTCACTAGTACCAATGTGTTTGTGGTGATTTTGGTTAAAAATATTGACCTTCTCAATATAGAAGATCTAGAGAGGTCATTCATTCATTTAAAAATGAATGATAAACTCTAAATATAAGTTAAAAATTGTTTCATTCATTTTTATATTGTTTTTTAATAATAGTGTTGTCCTCTGAGTTTCACGTAACACTTTTCACTCTTCTACTCAAACCTTTAATATATTTATTGATTCGTCTAAATGATACACACAAGTTTTGCAACTCTTAGAAGAATACACAAACATAAACACCAAACCGGTTCTTGAAATTTTGAATAAACATAAAAATGTTTTGGTTTCCACATGTTGTCTCAGTAGAGAAAAGGAATAACAGCTTTCCGAGTCTTGGGATACTCATCCTTGAACTTGTCAATATACCATCCGTGGCTCGCACGTGCGCGTGGGATCAAGTTGGAACACGTGTAGAGGAAAAACCCAATCCCGGCCCAAGACCAAGTCATTATAGCCCAGCCCAACCACTCAATCACCTCTCCAAAGTAATTCGGGCAGCTTACTAGCTCGAACCAGCCTCCTCTCGGTATCACATAACCTCCCCGGTTCTCTTTCTTCAGTCGTACCAGAGTTCGGTCCGACGTAATATTAATCCACATACCGACTATGAAAACCACCGTCCCAATAATAAACCGCCACCAAAACCACTGTCCGTCTTCGTAGTCGTCCTTGTAATGAGAAACCCACCTCACCTGTTCAAAATCCTCCCAAGCTGAATTTTAATTCGGTACAAAGTGAAATGTTCCGGTACTAACGGTATCAAAATCGAACTAAACCGAACCAAACCGAAATTAAGCTGCACCGTACCTGGATATAAGCGTTGAGTAGATTGAAGGTGAAAGCCATGGCGGCGATGCTGATCGGAAAACCGTTAATCCCGGAAGAGGAGGATGAGCTGCTGCGGAGGAGGCGGAGAGGGTAAAGGATGGTGCGATTGAAGTAATGGAGGAGATAAGGTGAGAAGAGGAGGAGAGATTTGGGATTGAGAGAGTGACGGCCAAAGGGGAAGAGGAGAAGCGTGAGCCACAAGGTGGGGCTCTCCATGACGAACCAAGCAATCGGCGGAGATACGGTGGGGCCCCAACCGGTACGGTTGTGTTTGCCGTAGGGAGCTTGGAGGAATTTCAAAGCGACGGCGGTCGGTGGGCCGGAGAAGATTAGGGTGAGGACGCAGTAGCGGAAGAAGGTCTGATCGCCGATCTCTTCCATTTTTCTCCGAAGTGGGGAAAATGGGAAAGTTCAGATCTCTCAAGGCATATAGTTAAGTATTACAGCTTGGGAATTTAATTGGATTTTTTTACTGAAAGAGGAAATATCAAAAACAATATTGGAATTTAATTAATTGGATCTCCCAACAATATTCTATATAGATATTAAAAAATACTTATTTTTAAAGGCAAAAAAATGACCAAAACTTGGTGTTTTCTACCCCATATTTAGGATTTAATTCCTAATTATTATTACAGATTTATTATCCTAGATATCTAGCGTATTAAGGTATAAGTATAATAACCACTCATCTTAATTAGTTTTTTTGTGTGTCTCTCTTTGTAACAAATGACTCATCTTGATTAGTTGATTTAGTGAAACTGAAACAATGTCTATTGTGGATGTGGTTCATTCAAAATTATCTGTCGTAAATCCTCATGTTGCGGACAGATAAGTGTCCAGTCCTGGCCTGTTACTTGAGATGAGGAGATGGACGATTGAGATTTGAGGTAGCATCCCATTTTGATGTCTTTGGTGAGTATAATTAATACGACTTGTATCTCCATTTAATTGCAAACCTGACTTTGAAGGAAGACCGTTCATTTCCAATCATATTTTGGACTAAATTCTTCCTTTTCTACAATGTTACAATTCTTTTCCCCTTGTTAATTCATAACCCTACTTAATTATGTTTATTTAAGTCCTTGAAGCTCTAAAAATGAGATGTGTGTGCGTGTGCCTATAGGCTGAATGTTTTGTGATCGTTGGATTCTTAGGTATGAATATGATCACAATGACTCAATGAGCATCAAGTGAATAAAAGAAGCATTGAACTTATTGGACAAAGTATTCGTCTTTCATAGTTTTCTTTATTGAACTAAAGCACCTACTACTTTCGTCAACAACCACTCTCTTTTGTTTATATATGAAAGTACTGTATGAACAGAAAAAAAACTAATTTTAAGTTTCATCCATCCAATTTGACTAGTATAGATCTAATGTGATGAGTTGAATTGTTAAAAGAGTATTTTGATTATGCTTGCATCTAGTTTTGATGAAATCATAGAAAACCCAGAAAAAAAAGTATCTATTCTATTTTAACTTTCTAACCAAAAATAATAATAATAATAATCATTTTGTACTTTTGGAATTAAAAGACTCGTTCTCCGGTGGCAAAGAGGATCCAAAACACGGTCGCTGCGAAGTAAAGAAACGTCGTAACCGTCAAGAACGCTTGAAACGAGCCGAGCCACTGCACGAAATAGCCAGTCCCTATTGTACTTACGATCGCAGCTAACGTACCCGCACAATTCGAAATACCTGTCTCGAATACACAAAACCCTTAACTTTTTCAGCAAGAAACAATATCGAGACCATAAAAAAAAAAACCTAGACCATATAGTAACACTTACCATGCAGAAAACCAGCGTATTGTGGTGCGATGTCCTGTTTTTTTTGCAAAGAGAAACCAACGATGTTGTGAAAATTCAAGATTATCCCAAACAGGTTTAGGTTAGTGATCAATCAAGTTTTGAATGAATGGGTATAAGATATCAACGTACTTGCATATTGAGGAGAAATCCAGCTTGGCTAAAGGAACTCAAGCTCAATGCAATGGTCATGAAAATCGCTGCACAAGAAGGCGTCTTTGCGTAGTTGAGGCAGAGCAGCGACAACCCCGGACCCATAAATCCGATAGACTGACAATAAAGCCAGGACTTGCCGTTAGAATGTTATGGGCCGGCTATTATTAGTTAACTACGTAGTGCACTTTAAATAAATAATCACCTGCATGATCTTTCGGACTGAGGTTACAGAGTGACCAGTTCTGATCAAGAAGTCCGATGCTGAGCCGGCGAAGTAACCGGAGACCGCCATTGTCGCCCATGGAAGAGCGCTGAACCAAGCCGCTTGCTTCAAATTCACATTAAAAACCTGTGATCGGACAACATCAATATTAAAACATCATCTTCTTAGTTCATATCTGAAACAAGATGAAAAACATGAAATAAGCCTCTACTTAATTACCGTCTGGAAGTAAACAGGCATCCATGAGAGAAGAACAAAGTATCCCTGTGAACAACTAACCAAAACCGTGTAAGTTTATGACAAAAAATGACGAGACATTGCTCTAAAATTAATGAAGGTACTATCATACTCAAACTTACCCAGTTGTTAGTCACATTAGCGAAAATGATCGCCCAAGTAGGTAATTTCGACAAAAGAAGGCGCAAAGATGGCTTAGATTTTGCCATAATATTGGCTGGCGGGTGAACTGGTTTTCCAGCCTGGATTAGCCTAAGCTCTGACCTAGTGATGAAAGGACTGTCCTGAGGGTTGTTTGTAACGCCACTTGACCAAGTGGACACCCACAATAGACCTAAGGATGCAAAAAGAATGAATGGACCAGAGATTCCTATAGAAGTTGATAGCATGAGCGGCGTCAACAAAAGTCCCACCACATTTCCCATGTGAAACCCGGCCATCGATATTCCAACCGCACTTGCGCGTTCATCTGTTGGGAACCACCTGGCCACAACAACATATATAGATAACTTATGTAGGATATGTTTATGTAAAGGCTATATTAGTAAATAGTTAACTCTAAACCCTCACGTGTATCTAGTATAAATATGTAATCATTCTATCTAATGAATCATTAAGTTCCCTAATCTATATGGTAGCAGAGCGGCGATCCCAAGAAACCTAAATACTCCCTCTGTTTTTTAGTAGTTGTCGTTTTAGAGAATTTTGTTTGTTTTAAATTAGTTGTCGTTTTCAGTTTTCAATGCAATATTTATTAGTTTTCTATTTTTTAAGAAACTAAAACAATTAATATTTTTTTAATCTGTGTACATAACTTTAAAACGACAATTAAATAAATCCGGAGGGAGTATTTTCCGGCCGCCAACACCATTTTTCAAACCCTTCCTCGCTCATTACTCATGGCACACTCTCCACAATAACGAGTGAAACAATCTCGGTTACTAACAATGTCAACCTCATCAATGTCAACATGCAAAACGTTACCAAACTCACCACATCCAATTTTCTGATGTGGAATCGTCAGATTCATTAAGTTCCCTAATCTATAACTTAAGTCTGTGATTTTCCAAAAAAAAATTCAAATACTTAATTAATTAAGTAAATATTTTCAGTTTTTAATTTTATTTCAGAAAGTATAGAGAATATAGAGGGAATTTACCGAGAGAGAAGGGTAGTCATGGAGGGCAATGCAACGCCTTCAGCGAGGCCAAAGAAGGCGCGAACACACAATAAGGCTAAGGTTGAGTGTGCAGCTGCCCAAGGAGTTAGTAGAGTGGCTAAGGACCACAATGCAACTCCCCAAGCCAATACCTGTTTTCCTCCATAACGATCCACCAGTGCCCCTCCGATAACCGATGAAAAAATGTAACCCCATAGGAAAGAGGACTGTAAGATAAATAAGTTTCAGTCCACATTAAAAACACCATATAATGTTGGCCAGAAAAAGTAACTAGTGCTCATCAAAGAGTTCTAACCCGGAGGCTAAATATATAGAAGAAATCAATCTAGTGATTGAGTATTTGCCTTATTGGTTGAGGTCATCAATGAGTTTTATCCACACTTTAAGTAGCAACAAAATCAGGTTTTTACAGTATTGAGATTAATCTGGAATTTGGTTCATGATTAAGAAAAAAACACTCAAAAAGTGGAAAGTTAAATTATCTAAACTAAAATTTTGGGATCTTAAAAATATTAGTTGTGTCTTTCCATTTGAATTGAATGCCTCCAAAATGAAAGGAAACGAATATTTAGTTTTTGAAGCCAAACAAACAAAAAATTCCAAAGAAAAAGGACATCAACGTGACCTACACCATAAACGATTTCGTAATAATCACACGAGGTCAAGCTTCTCCACGCTTGCGGTCCAAACAAACGCACCTACCACTTTCGTCAACAACCACTCCCTTTTTTTCAATATATATCAAACAAAATATTTCTTTTTGTTTCCCTTTCTTCAACAACCATTTTCCCTTTTATTTCTTGAATATAAGTTTGTTACATTCTTTATTAATCACCCGATATTCTTTCAATGGTTTTTCAACTTTCATAGTGTATTATACGTCATCCGTTCACTATAAATCTAATAAACTAGTCAATCATGTATATTAACCTCGTTCACTCTTTCTTAAATATACTATTTTATTGTTTTATTGCAATTTACTATTTTAAAAAATAAGTGTGACAAATGCCAAAATGGAAGGAGTGAGTTATGGAATTTCCATACGATATTTTCGTCCCGCAATAAATATGTTTAGCTATTTATATCGGGATACCAAATCTAGAAATCTAAAAAAAAAAATTATGAAGTTGATCTCTTACCTATTCGCGGATCAAGAATGTAATTAGGAGAGTTAATGAAAGATTTGATCAAAGGGAAATAAAAATAAGGAGATTAAAGGAAATACCTGAACTACCCCTAGAAAAGAACTCGACCAGCCAAGCTTCTCGGCGAGTGGAACCACCGCGACGGACATAACAACTCGGTCGGCGTTACAGAGACACATCATGCAAGCCGTCAATATCACTACTTTTCTCCTCTCCGGCATCATCATCGTCCCCACCTCCTCCGTCATCGCCTCCGTCTCTTCTCCACCGAACAGTGTTCCCTCCGCCGCACATCTTACCGGCGATTGATTTCTTTTCCTCGCCGCCACCACCACCGCTTCACCTCTTCTTCTCCCTTGGCTTTCCGAGGAGGAACGTATGTTCTCACATCGAATCTCATTATGTCTGAAACCGAACCCGAAACCAAGAAAGGCTTTCCGGTTTGCGATCGGATTCCGGCGGAATCTCAAAATGCACGACGAATGTTGCAGAGAATTTACCGATGCTTCAATGGCCATTGATGAATATTTAGGGATAACTAACTTATTGTGCCAATAGTGATGTAAATGTTTAGTACTGGTTATAATAACGATAGACGGAGAGAGAGAGAGAGAGAGAGAGAGAGAGAGAGAGAGAGAGAGAGAATCCGACATGAATTAAGCGTTTAAAAGTCTTGTGCTTGGTAGTGTTTGGTGGTGAAGGGTATTTTGGTCAATATAGAAATATTTTCTGCTGCATCCTACGTGGAGACATTTGATGTGTTTGTATGACTATGACAAAGTGACTCCACCACGTCAATGCCCACCTACAACGGGCCGACTTGTTACGGGAGCTTCCCGTATTATGATCAAACTTTTATATTTCCATATATAATTGTATATAAAAAAAAAATTTAAACCGGCCTATTAACATTTTTTCTTTGGTTGAAAGATCATCAAAACTAAACTAATTTTTTTGGGGTTTTACAATATATAGAAGCCAAAAGGAATATAAACTTGCAAAAATCTACGCCGGATAAGATATCCTAATTGACACTAAAACTAAAAACAAGAAAATGAAAAGAAAAGTCTAACTTAGTTTACGAAAGGGTCCAATCAAAAAGAAAACCATAAGATTATGAGCTCAAAAACAGCTCAAACTGGATCATATATCCTAATTGACATCGGTTTAGCATTTCTCTTAACAATTGCAAGAAAATAAAATCGAATTCTTATATTTTAAAACAATGCAGTCTCCATGATCGCAACGCCACTAACGTCAATATGTATGAACTATATTTATAAATCAATAAATATAAAGGTTTTAAGTTAACCAATTTTCATGTCAAAGGTTTTATCTATTAGATTTCTATATTCTTTCTATGAAAAATTATGTAGAAACTTTTTTAAAGCCACCTCAAACCCCTGAAATCGACAATTGCTAATTTATACATTTTCTAGTTGCTTATTCCCCAAGTAATCATCTTTTGTTGGATCATATTGTTTTTCTTTATGACAATTTTGTTGCAAGAAAACTTTGTTCACCTTTGAACAAAATAAATTCTTATAACAATTCTTATGGCAAATCTACTTTCAAACTGAAAAAGAAAAAAAAATAAACAAAACCATTTTGACTATGTTTTCGCTAGTGATTGGATTTATCGAATCCTATAAGTTAGAAAGTTTATTCTTATTTTCTCTTCTTCAGAAAATAAACTTGTTCAAAACTTGGCAAAACATTCATATATGTCAAAGCTTCAATTTTTGATGATTTAATTAATATCAAACTTTTATCATCATAAATTAAAATTTTCTCATACATAAAATTTTTACAATAAAAAATTGTTATCATCAAAATCTACAAGTTCATGCTATAGAAACAGAAATTGAAGGTTTTGATGGAAGAAGGAGAGGACCGCCATGAAGCTTGGTCCCAAAAGAAAAGCTTCACAAACAATGGTGTCAATTATGCACAAATTGAGCAATGATGTGAAATGTTTTGGGAGATTTACAAGCAAAAACATTAAACATTAGATTTAAAAATAACATAGTCTTCTTTTTCATATTCTCTTCTTCTTTATCTTCGTCTTCTACTTAGAGGAGGAAGTACCTTATCATTAAAAATAAGTTAGCAGAGAATTTAGAAAAAATTCATAAAAAGAACTAATTATAAAGAAATTTACCTTGTACTGCTTTGTCATGCAAGACAAGTGCACTTTCATACCATAGGAGCATGCTAACACGTCCCATAGATTTTAGGTGCTCTATCATTTGCACCAGGTATTTCCTTTCGCCAGATTCATCCACCATTGCGTTTCTCTCCTCTCTGGAGATCCTTTCTATCTCTGCAAATCTCTCAGCTTCCTCATTTTCGTCAAACTTTTTTAAAGTTCGATCCACTGTTTCAGTTCAGATTCTTGAGGCCCTATTCTTTTGGAACGCAAATTCTTCAGAATGTTGATCCTCTCAACCAGATGTTAATTGGCTAGCTTGTGGATGTCTTCCTCAATGTGGAAGGAACACCCAAGCTTTTTGGCTCTTTCCTCCTTTTCCACTGTTACTTTTGGGTTGTTCTCTAGACAGAATAAAACACTTTCAAAAATTTGTCTAGACAAAAAATCTATGAAATTTAAAGGATCATAAGGTTGTATTCGATTTCAAAAACTTGATTGTGTTTAGTAGACTAGCCCATTATTTGATCATAAGGTCGTAATAGTTTTAAATATTTGGAATATCTTTTTTTCTCTAATATTTTAGGAAATTCTTTGTAAAAATTTGGAGATGTGTGCCAGTTCAGAATTTGGGTTTAATGAATTTTTTTTGGAAATTTTAGGACGTCTTATTAAATTTGAACTTAATATTTATCATCGTACACTGAGATTTTAATTTAGACTGGTCTCAATTAATATCGAATTAAATCCGGATGCGAACACTACCAACAGTTTATATATTAATGATTGTAATAGTTAGACATTTTATTTTAAATGTTATTCGTGTAAGTGAAAATATCACCGCATTCGTCAATACAATCGCTGAATGAAAAAGAGTCATCAATTATGTCAACGAGCTCGAAGGAGACTATTTGGTTGAGTAAATAAAGAATCTGGATTGCTATAATGCTTTAAAGACTCGAGGATACAACGTATTTAAAATTGATCCTAAATAGGGAAGAAAAAGCCCAGGCATTTTAACAGCATAATTCACTCAAAAGTCTTTAAAATATACTGTTAAGACAATGACATCAAAAGCGAGCCATCGTATTTAAGTGCCATACAAAAAAAAAAAAAATTCTAAACAATTTCACCTTGTTACAACAACAATCCAATTTACAATATTATCTGATATAATGGAAATTTTTAAACGAACTTCAATATCTTACTTGCAGTTTTGGCCTTTTGCATATGTTAAAAAAAAAAATCAAATTATAATATTAATGCGACTATCAAGATATGCCAATTTAGATGTTAACCCATATATGCCAATTTAAAATAATGAAATCATATTTTCATAGAAATGCCATTTTTGAATAATAAAACCACCATTGTTGTACTATGCACTATGTAACGAGCACTATGTGAATGTCTTACAACTTTCGCTACCTCATATGATCATATCCTAAACAAAGGTTACTTCAGATTAAGCATATTTTAATTTTGAAATCAATTGACAATTGCTATCTTTTAGAACATATTTTGTATAGCTTAGTTTACAATTTCATTCCTAAAAATATCAAAATTAGAGATTTTTAGCCTAATTTTCTAATAGTATTATTTTACACAGACTAGTAGTCGTATTCATACAATCACACATGATATCATTGAATGAATGGATACAATTTTAGACTTATTTTCAATATATTATACGATATAAAACAAAAAAAATGTTTTTATTATTTAAGTATATGAATGCTTTCCTAATAGTATGTAGTGAGCCTAAGCGGTAAATTGTTGGCTCATGTTTCTTCAGATCTACTAAATATTCGTAATTTGGGTTCTGTCAGGTTCATACACGTATTTTAAAATCATCAAAAGTGAGATTGAAAAATTCAAAGTGGGAAATGCACCTATGAGTGGGTTCATAACATGGCTAACATATTTTAAATTCCTTCCTACATAAGTCGACACTCTAAACTCCATTTTAAACTCCTACGAAAGCTGAAAAAGAAGAGAGAGACGAAAATCTTTTACAAATATAAAAACAACTTCTAAGACAACTAAAAAAGAAGAGAGAGAGAGATAATGGTCTTTCACAAATATAAAAACCTACGAGGGAACAATTGAAAGGGACAGAAAAAAATAATATCTATGATGAACACATCACTCATTTATTTCAAAAAAAAAAAAAAACACTTGGTTCCATTTTTATTAATTTCTGCGATATAGATATCTATAAAGTTAAAAGATATTTGGGTATAGTTATAGTGGGTTGGCACAACCCATCTTTGTATAATTGGTACTGGTGTTCGAGCCAAGTCCGACTAATTTAGAGTTGATTAGGTTTATTGGTATAAGTTTTCTACAAGCTCATCTCTGATAAAGCAGCTAGGTCGTTTTATTCAAAAAAAAAATGTTTTGTTTATTGGTATAAGTTTTCTACAAGCTCATCTCTGATATGTTTTTTTTGGATATCCAAAAAAAAACGGCTACCAAGTTATGTTTTGAAAATGCTTCAGAAATTCGGAAAAAAGAGGGAATAAAAGTGGGCCGAAGATGGGCCAAGATGAGGGACAAGTGTAGTAATAAGGGAGAAAAAGTAGCCGGTTTCACACGAGTCTGGTTAAGTCTATTATTACTCGTGACTCACCGACGGACTTCTCTTCAATCTTCATCACTCCCCCCCCGTGCGCCGTCGGTGCTATCCCACGCCCTTCTTCATATTCCAATTTAGTTGTTTTCTTCTGTTTTAAATTTTAAATCCTAAAGTTATCTGGATGTTCTTTTCTCAAGATAATACTATTCACGTGTGTGAATTTACTTACCTCCTCCACACTGAATAAGCTATCCCAATTATATATACACTTTTAGTTTTTTTATGTGAATTAAATAGGATTCCAACGAAGGTATCAGTTCGTATTCGTCTTAAATTGGAACAATATCATTTGTTCAAAATTCGACTGAACTGACATCACATTAATTCGTATCCCAAGATTATTCGTCGTGTTATGCAAAACCATCTTAATGTCCAATTTGCATATTTCTCTGCCACACGTTTAAATATAATATTATGTAATTTTGGAATAAAGTAAAGTACCATGCATGTATTTTGGACGTTTATAATGCATGAAACCTTAGAAAAACGTTCACCGTTTATTATAATAGTTTCTTAAATGAAACCTTTAATCAAAGATGTAATACAGCTTTAGAACCAAAAAAAAAGGAAAGAAAGAGATCTTCTAATAGAGCTTATTTTAACATGCATTAGTTGCTATATATATTCTCAAAAGGCGAAAGGTAGAGAAAACAAAAAGAAGCAATAGATGAATAGAATAAGAAAAAGAAAAATAAAATAAAAGTGAATAAAGACAAAAAGACAAAAAATGAAGAAAGAAAGCGAAATGTGATTATAAAGTGAACAAGTGAAAGCCACTGTAAGAAACATCCTCGAGCTAATATTACCTGACTTTGCATTTCCCCCCTTAAGAGTATAAAAGCTACAAATATGTTTTTTCCCAACATGATACTGTATTATTAAGTTATCGGTTCCTCGTAAAAAACACAACTTTGAAATATATCTAATATTGTCGTCTAAGAATCTATATTAAGATCTTATCTCTTGTAATAATTTCATCCATCAAAACCAAAGGAAAATAGTTTTCCAACACAATAATTTGTGAGACATTACATTACAAGACTTGCAAAAAAAAAAAAAAAAATTACATTACAATATCATGCTATAGTGGCTCATTTGTTGAAGTGCAACCTGCTAATAACAAAATATGAAATCATAGCGAATAGTTTCTCCAGGCAAATGAAGTCTCGGGAATCTTACGAGTAGTTCATTGGCTGGCAAGTTTAAATTGATGCGTTGAGTTTTAACTTACAATTAGTCGTATACTGGGTTAATAAACATGAAAATGCACTCAACTTCATCATTTTTTTAACAAGAATGGATGAATCTAAGTTCAAAACAGTAGCTAAACACAATAATGCCGCGAAAATCAGTGTCACTTTGACCTCAGGCATTCATCTTATCCGACGTCAGCGGTTGACGACTCACCGTCCGATCTTGGCTCACTGTTTTGGTAGTGGTCGACTGCTTGGTCTGTAGTCGCCGACAAACTAGCATGATTCTCTTTAAAATGGCAACCCGATTGAAATTAATTTTAGCACATTGAATATAATTCATATTGATCATATCATTTTTAACTCACGATTTTCTTATAAAAAAAATGGATGGTAATGCCATATGAATTCAATGATTACCTTAAAAGAAATATATCTACTTTCATATGGATGGTTTTGTTTTATCTAACATTTAGATTCGAATAAAAAATGTTAGTACGGAAAAGAAGTGTCAAATACTATGATGATGTGATTTGGTTCCAGCTAAGATGAATCTAAAAATTTGAATTTTTTAACAGCATCAAACTAGTTTAATACAATAGTCAATAGATAAAGGATTTGACAAGAAAAAAAATAGAAGGATGAGAAAACTTAGAATTTTCAGTAGACAAACAATACTGTAGTCCCTTCGAGATTTCCGGGACATCGGAAAGTGAAAAAAAAAAACAAACATGGACTTATTAGCCTCTTAGGCAGTGGTGGTGGTGGTGACCTTAGGGGCGTAACAGTCATTTTACAAGCGAGAGCCCCTAGACTTTGCTGCAGTAGTGTAGTACGACTGCTAAAGTTTACCAACGGAACTAGCGATACAATTATTTCAAAAAAACCACCCTAATGTTTTCTCTTTATTCTAATTTCACTCCCCTTTGTTTTATAATATCATTATTCAACCCTTTCCTTTTTTCCTCTTTCCTCGCCTTTTCTCTCTTTGACACTATCCGTTGAACCCAAACGGCTCTCTCTCTCTCTCTCTCTCTCTCTCTCTTTCATCAGTCGACATTTTTTCGGAAGCTTTTCTTCTCTCTCGAATCCCAAGTGTAAATACTATGAGCAACGGGTGGTGTCTTCGATTTCTCCGGTTATGAATCCTGCTAACAACAATCCAGTTGCAGCGTCAGCCGTAGCCTTAGCCCTAGCTCCGCCGCTACATCCGCCGCAGCCTCACCGTCCTTCCACCTCCTGTGATCGTCACCCGGAGGAGCGTTTCACCGGATTTTGCCCTTCTTGTCTCTTCGAGCGTCTCTCTGTTCTAGACGTCACTACTAGCAAGAACGCCGTCGCGTCTTCTTCTTCTTCCAGGAAACCACCGTCGTCTTCTGCCGCCGCTCTTAAGGCAATCTTCAAGCCATCTTCTTCCTCCAACGCCGGGTTATTGTTCCCAGAGCTTCGGAGGACGAAATCGTTCTCGGCGACAAAGAACGAAGCTTTTTCTCTGGGTGCGTTTGAGCCGCAGAGGAGATCCTGCGATGTGAAGGTTAGGAACACTCTCTGGTCTCTGTTCAACGAAGACGCCGAGCATAATTCTCATACCAAAGAGGGTTTTTTAACAGTCGATTGTGAGATTGACCTCGAAGACAGAGATTCCATCGTCAAGTCGCCTCTTTTCGAGGAAGACGCTGAAATTGAAAGTGAGAAGGACATTGATTGCGGGAATTTAAAGGAGCCCAGAAGCGTAATCGACGAAATCGTCGAAGAAGAAGAAGAAATTGAAGAAGAGGAAACGGAGAACGTGAAGGAGCAAATGGAGTTGAATCCTCAGACGACGACGACGACGAAGAAACCCAACAGAGATTTCAAAGAGATTGCTGGGAGTTTCTGGTCGGCTGCGTCGGTTTTCAGCAAGAAACTTCAGAAATGGAGACAAAGGCAGAAGCTTAAGAAGCATCGGCGCGGCGGAATCGGCACCGGATCCGCCGCGTTAACGGTGGAGAAGTCAATCGGGAGGCAGCTCAGAGATACTCAATCTGAAATCGCCGATTACGGATACGGCCGGAGATCATGCGACACAGATCCAAGATTCTCAATTGACGCCGGAAGGTTCTCGCTTGACGCCGGGAGGATTTCTTTCGACGCCGCTAGGGTTTCGGTGGACGACCCTCGCTACTCCTTCGACGAGCCACGCGCGTCTTGGGACGGATATATGATCGGAAGAACGGCTGCTCCGCCGCGAATGCCTTCAATGTTATCTGTATTGGAAGATTCTCCGGTCAGTAATCACATCCTCCGTTCAATTCCGGTGGAAGAGCCACCGCGAACACCACCAGCGCCTGTAATGGAAGAGATTGTCCCTGGTGGATCTGCGCAGACACGAGAGTACTACACCGACTCATCTTCACGACGGAGGAAAAGCCTCGATCGCTCTAACTCCACCAGGAAGATATCAGCTTCCGTTATAGCTGAAATCGACGAACTAAAACTATCTGCTTCAAACACTAAAATCTCGCCTTCTCAAAACGTGAAAGACTCTGTTTCACAATCGCATTCACTGAGAGACGAATGCTCAGCTGAGAATTTCGAATTTGGTGTCCGGGAAAACGCAGGGAATGTGGAATCTTGCAAGAAAGGGACGAAGAAATCTAAAAAATGGAGTTGGAACATATTTGGGCTACTTCACAGGAAAAATGGGAATAGATACGAAGAAGAAGAAGAAGAAGAAGAAGGAAGAAGCGGTGTGGATAGAAGAACGTTTTCGGGGTCGTGGAATGTAGAAACTAGAAATGGGTTTGATCCGAAGATGATAAGAAGCAATAGTAGTGTGAGTTGGAGAAGTATTGGTACCGGAGGAGGAGGAGGGTTTCACCGGAACAGTGTGGATGGATACGTTAGTGGGAAGAAGAAAGTTAGTAGTAATGGGAGAAAGATTGAGAATGGAATGTTGAAGTTTTACTTGCCGCCGAGTAAAGGAAGGCGAAGAGGAAACAGTGATTCGACCGGACAAACGAACCGGCCGGTTCCGGCTTCTCAACCGTTTGGTAGAAATGTTATGAACTTTTACTAACAAAATTGTTATGGACTCAAAATCTTCTCTTAGATGTGTAGTTGGAATAAGTTTGGTAATAAGGTTGTATTGAGAGGAAATTATTAAAGATTCTTACTTCTGTATTTAGTTGAGTCTGATTCTTGTGTTGGGATTTGGTTGCTCGATATCTTAATGTTTTTAGGTCTAAGTTAATCAGTCTTCTTTGATCATGAAGGTATTACAGAATTTTGTGCTGATTACAATGTTCTCACCAGTATAGTTGGATTAGAGTATCTACATATATACATATGAGAAAAGCAGGAAAACGCGATGACATGTGAAAGTTAATATATTGCTAAATTAGGAGCAACTCATGGACAAAGTAAGGTTCCATTTCCAATCAGCGTAGACAGTACAGTATATCTGATTCTTGGATAAATCCGCAATTTTCGCGTAACGCTTCCGTTTATTTATATTAAAATTTAAAATCAAAGTCAAAAAGCGACAATCATTTTTCAATTTTAACAAAAATATATTAAAAAAAAAGGCCTGCAAGGTAACCAATGGAAGATGTCGAGGAGAAAAGAAAAAAATTCCAAATGTTGACCAATGAAAAAAAACTCCAAATTTTTTCCTCATCAAGAACGTATTACAGATAAGTGGAACATGTTAAGGAGACAAGAAATCAACAAACAAGAAATGTTAAGGAGACAAGAAGAGCCCGTGGGAGCCGGCTTTATCCAAAATGATTTGAGGTGATAGGGTAAAAGTAATTTTCTTGGCCTTATATAGTTATGTTAAAGAAAACAAATTCAAGTATTAAAACCATTAACTCTGTTTAGACTTTAACAAAACAAACCATAAACTCTGTAATATGAGGGGGAAAACAAAAAAAGTGGCACTGGCTCAAGCTCAAGGCTTCATAGTTCATATGCTTGCTTTGTTTGATCCACTACGATGCTTTCGTATAAGGACCTGAGATATTTCTCACCCTAATACTAATAGTTATTCTGGCAAGACTTGATTTCATATGTGTGTATAAGGTTCTTCTATTGTAAAAATAAATAAAAAGAGTCAAGCAGACCCAGCTCAATAATTTGGCCATAAGCCCATAACGTTTAAGACCATCATACACTAACAAATTTTATTTGAGCCTGAATCTATAAGGTGATTTGAACAAGCAATGTGGCTACAATTTGTGGTCCGAGCTGATATGACATACAATTATCCGCATTATTAATAAGTACACAATTTTGGTGAGTTTCTTTTTCTTTTATAAGACTTTATTCGATATCATGAAAAATTCCATTGTTATTGTGTTGTCGTTCGAACGTTAATGTTAGTGTAACCTTTCAAAGATTGTTGAGAAAATGACAATAACAAATTAACTATAAATTGGCAGATATTGACAGTTTACCCATTTTAACCATGACAACTCATCAAATCATCTTTCGCATAAGTGCTTAACATCTCTGGTACGGAGAAAAGAAAACATAATAATAACTAAGTTGACCAGAAATGAATAAAATTAGTTGATATCATAGGTTACTACTAGCTCTATTCCACACATGTATGACCGAAACGGTGTCGTTCCAAGTTACAGGCATTTCTTATGTAGCCTTAACTTTGAAACAACCCCAAGCAAGAGCCTGTCTTTGTTTACAACGACGTGAAAGCCATTTCTCAACTATTCTACTGTCTTAGTTTCTAAGCATTCTCGTCTCCACCTCACTTCACACAGCTTCTAAGACACTTTTTTACAATATTTCTAACATTACATATGCGACTATATCGAATCCACTATCCAACTTCAAGAATAACAAATTAATCTACATTCCATATAATTGGGCGGGCGGTCCAGTTCTGATTTAAATTTTAAGGTTATTCTGAGATAAATGACGATAAAACTGTATTCAAATATAATTTAATTTGTTCCATCGATTGAAATTTAATCTTCTTACTGACTATATCACTAACTTCTTTTCTTAAAAATAAAAATAAATAAATCTTAGTAATTTTAAGTTTTATTTCCATCAACTATAAACCCAAAAAACTGAATATGTTAAGTGTTTTTTGTTTGATTTAGTGTTAGACGATTTTTTTTTTATAATCTGGTTCATCCTAAACTGAAATTCAAATGGATTAATAGTTAAAGTAATTAATTTGAACTTTTTTTGCCACTTAAAACGTTTATGGATGGCTAACGAATTTGATTTACCATATTAATTAAACATTCGCTGCCACAAATTAAAAATACGCAATAATTAAAGTGTGAAGCAGAAGCGGAAAATGTTTTATGTATACCCGAAGGAATAGAGATGTACGATCTCAAAATGGACAATTCGACAATTTATCGATATTAATGTTAGAAAGTTTTGTGGTCGTTTTAAATATACTTCGAGTTCAGACGTGTACGTCTCGCCAAACTAAAAAACACAATCTCGATCTAAAGTCTGTTTCGTTTCAAAAATTGAAATGTCGCTACATTATCCATAGATTATAACTTTATAAGTACAAAATAAAGATCAAGAGCTTTCTCATGCATATATAAGACAAATCAAGCCTGAGCAATCTATATCGTAATTAATCTGAAATATATGTATGTAATAGATGTTAAATCTTTGATGCAAAATATTGTTATTATTCGTCAACAGTAAAACTAATTATTACCAAGGAGCTTACTAAATAACGTTTTTTCTTTTGTTAAAGGACTTACTTATAAACAAAACAAAAAACAATATTAGACTGCATATAATCTGTCATGAATCAGTATATGAAATGATTGTGTATAAAGATACTAACTGATACAACCTTATGCTGTTATGCACAAAATGAATTAATACACGTAACAAATAGGTTCCAGTAAATATTTTAATGTGTACAAGCTAATTAAAATGTGAGATTGAGACTAGAATTTTTTAAAAAAAAGCTAAATATGTTATATTCGCATGTTAACTAGAACAAACATGTCAAGTTTAGGCTTCAGTTTTAATAATGATAAAAATAGGTTTCATATTTTTATCTATAAAAGTCGAACATAAACGTAGGATAAATTTCGCATAAATTAAATAATGCCATTAGTTTGTGGTAAATTTTTTTTCAAAATAGAAAAAACTGCATATGGTAAATAACTTATTTTTTATAAAATGGTAAATGAGCTTTGACCACTAATTTGTTAAGAAAAGAAAAGAAAAGAAAAGAAAAATGATTATTCTTTTTTAGGGTTTGGTCAGGGAGATTAGTTGTGGTAAGAATGGGAATCTTAAATATAAAGAATTGGATTTTGGGTCGACCTACCTCCTAAAACGACGTCGCCTCCTTCTCTGATTACCAATCTCTTCCTCATCTCTCTTTTATAAGCTTGCGTTGGCCAGTCGTTCATCTCAAAAACAGAGACAACATAGAAGAAGGAGAGAAGAGAGAGAGAGAGAGATGAAGTCTCAAATGGTTTGGTTACTGTTTCTTGTATCCTTCTTGTCTGTGTTTTCATCATCGGAGAGCATGGTTCGCCATTACAAATTTAACGTGAGTTTATATATATCAACAGTTCTATTTGCATAGGTTCATGTACGAAATAGTCGCAACTTAGCCATATATGCATATTCATAAGCTACATATATGCTTATATACACATGTAACACATCCGTATATTTCATACATGCTTACGTAAAGAAATATAGATATATGGTTTGCAGCTTCACAGTGGAGCATAAATCTGTATTAGGAAATTTTAGAACTAATTGTTTTTGTAAATTCTCTTTCATCTGAATATTTGAGCCTTTACTTACACAAATTACTTCAGAGTTATGTACGTATGTTTTTCTTCATTTTGAACATGACAATCATTTTATGTAACAGGGATAATATATCTTTTTACGTACGTGTGAATAGCTTCTTCTTTTTTTTTTTTGTTACAACTTACAATCAGATAATGATTATGATTACCACTAGATTGCTCTCAGTCTTTTGTCTTATTTATCATTTTCCCTTTTGCTTAACTTTGCAATATAACTATTAATTAATGATATATATTTTTTTCCATTTACTGATTTAATGTGTTTGAAATCACGCAGGTTGTGATGAAGAATACGACTAGACTATGCTCAAGCAAGCCAATCGTGACCGTCAACGGTAGATATCCGGGTCCCACAATCTACGCACGAGAAGACGACACGTTGCTCATCAAAGTCGTTAACCACGTCAAGTACAACATTTCCATTCACTGGTAAGCTCCTGCTTAATCTTCATTAAAATCATCATTAGTAAGTTGATTAGTTAACTGATTGGTGTGCTGTGGACGATCGAGAACAGGCACGGTGTGAGACAAGTGAGAACAGGATGGGCCGATGGGCCTGCTTACATAACTCAGTGCCCGATCCAGCCAGGTCAAGTCTACACATACAACTATACCTTGACTGGCCAACGCGGAACGCTCTGGTGGCACGCTCACATCCTCTGGCTCCGAGCCACGGTTTATGGCGCAATTGTCATCCTCCCCAAACGTGGTGTTCCCTATCCGTTCCCCAAACCCGACCATGAGAAAGTCATCGTTCTAGGTACCTTATTCATATCACATGTTGAACCGGATCCATTGTACTTTATATGATTTGAATTGGCCAGTGGATTTCGAATTTGGACCGGCTGATGAAATTATCTCATTTCAAAAATGAAATTAAGATCTATAATATTATATAAAAACCATGAACCAAAATATTCGTTGTTTTGAGTTTGAAACCTATATAACACTGTTTTCATTAGTTGCTATTGGTTCATTACGTTGAAGATATGTTAATTTGGCATTACTAATTAACGCTCATCGTAATTGCAGGTGAATGGTGGAAATCGGATACTGAAAACGTCATTAACGAGGCGATTAAGTCTGGATTAGCCCCTAATGTCTCTGACGCTCACATGATCAACGGACACCCTGGCCCTGTTAAAAACTGTCCATCTCAGGGTACTTAAATTACTTAATTTCCAATTTATATGAGTTCTTACATTATGACTTAAAAAATACTGATTACGAAAAGCCTCTTTCTTTACCCGAAGGTTACAAACTATCAGTAGAGAATGGCAAAACCTATTTACTACGACTAGTCAACGCTGCACTTAATGAAGAGCTCTTTTTCAAAGTCGCCGGCCATATTTTCACGGTGGTCGAAGTCGACGCCGTCTACG